TGTGTTTGTTTATTCAAAAAACACTGTGTGGGTGTTTACAATGTGCCTTAACACTGGGCTGAGAGCTTTAGATATATCAGGTTAAAAAAAAAAAGACAAATATTTCTATCACTGTAAAACTTACAGCATTTTTGTGGTTGAGTAGTACAGAGTAAGTTGGGAAGATAGAAGGGGGTAGTCAGAGGGTCGTGGACAAAATTATAATTATGTAGTAGTTACAGTTACTGATCCAGAACATGGGTTGGCAAATTTTTCTGTAAAATGTCTGATAATAAATAGGCTTTTCAGGCCAATCGCTGCTATAATGACTCAGCTATAACTGTGGTGCAAACAGAGCCATTGATAACATATAATTAACGGGTGTGGCTGTGTTCTAATAAAACACAGGTGGTGGACTGAACATTATCTGGTCCACCCCTGGTCTAGGGTGCAAGGTACAGACTGTGACCATGGGCATGAGTGGAGAGTGGAGAACGAGGACATGGAGGTCAAGGAACTGGGAAACCAAGATTTGGAAAGATGGAAGGTGGGAAGGATGATCTACATATATGTTAAAATTGCCAAGAGTTGAGGCTTAAGGCAGGAGTAATACTGAACAGCATAACAATGAGAGAGGAGCTGCCAACTGTGAGAAACAGAGGAAAATATCCCAGAGGTTGACAGATGACAGCACGAAAGAGAAGTGACAGATGACATAACCTGATAACATGAGATTCAAAGCTGAAGTATTTTTGGGATAAGGGAGGAATGATGGTCTAAAAGTGGCAACAGGATAAAGTTCCACTTTCTGGGACTGTGATTCTTCTCCACGTGTGCAAAATAACTTCTCACCAAACACAATGAACACATTTCCCTGTTTAAGAACAACTGGAATTAAAAAAAAAAAAATGGCAGCAATGAGTCCCCAGTACCAGGTGCCGTAGGAAGGTGGTTATGGCCCCATATTTTGTAGATTCCACATAAGCTGTGATGTGGCGTCTTTGCAAACCCTACCCGGCTACTACCTGGAGGCACATTTTTAGCTCTCATTGGCAAGAAGACCAGCTTTCACATACACATTAAATGTTTTTTATTGTATCTTCATAGTAAAATGGGAATTTTAGAATAGTGACAGGCTTGTTGATGATGTCTATACTATATAATAGGCTAAAAGAAGTATCTTAGAGCCTAAAAAATCATGTTGATGATCACTAAAGTTGAAAAAAGATCAGAACATGCAAGTAGATGCCTGAAAAAAGACATTTGAGGACTTGAAAAGCTAAGTCCTATAAAAGGGAACTGGAGGCTTTCAAAAACGACTAAAATGACACCAAAGAGAGATTAACCAGCAGGCAGAGAGCCGGCAAAGTGTGTTCATGAATTATATACCATACCAGAAGTTCTAGCAAGAGAAAAGCGTAGGATTAATAATTAACTAGCAGAGTAATAATGGGCTTGTACGTTCTGCTTTTTCTTAGTGAAAGAAACAGGCCTACTTACTCTCTGTGCTCATTGTTCCCTCATATTTATAGAGAGGAAAGTTTATAAGCCAAATTCTTCTTATTTGTTTGATTGTTTATTTATTTATTTTTGAGACAAGGTCTCTCTCTGTTGCTCAGGCTAGAGTACAATGGTGTGATCATAGGTCACTGCAGCCTCAAAATCCTGGGCTCAAGGGATCCGCCTGCCTCGACCTCCTGAGTGGCTGGGACTTACAGACAGACGCGACCATGCCCAGCTAATTTTTTCTATTCTTAGTAGAGACGGGGGTCTCACTCTTGCTCAGGCTGGTCTTGAACTCCTGACCTCAAGCAATCCTCCTGCCTCAGCCTCCCAAAATGCTGGAATTACAGACGTGAACTGCAGTGTCAGGTCCCAAATCCTTTTTATAACTAAGAATCATTTTTTTCAAAGCCTCTTCAAAGTTACTCTCATACTGTCATTTGGATCCTCCCAGAAATACTCAAAGGTGTGGCCTCAGGCTCCCA